AAAAAAAAAAAAAATAAAAAATAAAAAAAATTAAGGTGCTCGACGACACTAAGAAGAAGAGGGTTCAACAAAACAAGGGTAAAGCGAAAATTGTCGATTCTCCAATGAATCAACAAGTGTTCGATTCAGATTTCAACATTAACGAGGAGAAAGAAGAAAATTAGTGATTGGGGTGCGGGTTTATCAAATCACGTATGAGATGGTATTATTATGTAAAGTTGAAATATGTTGGAATTGACAAGTTTTGAGTTTTGGAGTCATGTAAAGTAGACATAGGTTGTTTATCTAATGTATAACTACATTCGGTTTTGGATTTTGCAATCATTCAGAATTGTTTATTATGTTTTTATACCGTTTTAGTGTTGTTTATATCTTGTTTATCTTGTGTATTAATGTTAGACCATGTTTATCTTATGTATAACTATACGGGTAATATTAGAGAAATATTAGACCATGTTTATCTAATGTATATATACAATATATCTAAACATATCTTTTCGTGGTTATGATAAAGTATATGTACAATTATACTTAACATAAACGGTAGATAAACAAAATATTGTCACACACAAGCCATTGACGAATATATTGATTTTATTTGCCAAAGATTTGCTTTCTCATACCAAACATCAAATCACTGCCAAAACTCAGATAATCTGAACTGAAATCCCCACCGTCACAGTTACGTTGCCGTAAGCAGAGCCCATTTCGCCACCGCCAAAGCACACCCCATCTAAAACACCGGCCTTGGCGTACCTCCTACGCCAAACTAAAGAAAGTACCATCGGCCATCTCGCAACCGCCAAAGCACACCTCATCTAAAACACCGGCCTTGGCGTACCTCCTACGCCAAACTAAAGAAAGTACCATCGCCCATCTCGCAACCGCCAAAGCACACCCCATCTAAAACACCGGTCTTGGCGTACCTCCATACGCGAAACTAAAGGAAGTACCATCGACAACAATAATAGGCCTACAATGATTCCACCCTTTAATTGAAGCATTAAGACACATGGAACTTTTATCTTTGAAAGTTTCACCGACCGCAATATCTATATTCATGTATCCATCGACCAAAACTCCAAGTCTCTGGAGTGTTTATTTCCCGTTTATCTTCCGTAGACTTCAATGTTTTCAACATAGTCTACAGCTGGTTCGGTGATTCCTATGTAATATCATCGTCTTCCAAATCTTTTCGAGAACACATATTCTTGAAAATAAACGATTTATCACCCGAGGCCACATAATAAACTATGAAAATTAAAGAACAAAAAACCACTATTGTAATATAAAACCACATAAAAAACACCAACACGAAATTACCTTCTCAATTTTTTTTTTTTTTTATCAACGAAGATTTCACGAAAAACAATATTTGAATCATAGGAGATTTCACGAATAATGATTTTTTGCTTTCCAATCCCGTTCAGAGCCTTTTTCTTTTGTTCAACTGGATCAAAATTTTTTTTCCCAATTCAAGGGGATCTCGACAGGAGCGTGCTCTGTAAATCGGTCGCCAATATAAAACTATGTCTCATAATTTTGGAATGATTATTTGGAAAATATGGGGATAATAGCATCGGTTACGGAGGAGTGGACGACTGCGAGATTCTTGGGCTGAATATGATGAATCGTATTTTTGATATTATTTGCATCTGGAAATCCTTATATGATAAAACTTCTTTCATACCGTAAATATGAAATTAAGATGACTAAGAGACACAGATGCGTAAATTTCCCTTTGAAAAAATTGCGATTATGGTAGGGCATAACTATTTCCATTTTCATAAATTCCATGACTTTTTTTTTCAAAACGATAAATTAGATTAATAAAAACACATAATTATAAATCTAGATACAACTAGGATTAGCCAAGCAGTCATCCAACTGAATCTAAGGGATGCATACACAATGATAGTCTGGAGATCTACACTAACGCACCCACAAACAGACTAACTAAACAGTACCATACGGGAAAATCGATACAGTCCCATATGGAAGAATCGAGCTTCTACTCAGAAGAATAAAATAAAAGGCCAACAAGGCAACTCAAAACACTACACAACACAAACACTAACAATACTACAATACTAGAATAAGACCCTCCTCTTGCCGGCAGACAATCCGCAACAATCCATGGCTCGACACCTAGAGACTTCCGCACAAGGGAAAGAAACCCAATCCAATAAACCGAACCAAAAACTCCAGCAAGCGGCTAATTGGAACTTCAATCGGACCAAACTCCTCTCTCGAACGGCAACCCCTAGACCAACACCAGAGGACAACTCCCTTCTCCCCAACTCCCGACCGACGATCCCATCTCAACCACCGGCCGAGACTACATCCCAAACCCACGAGACACAATCAGCCCCCACCAACCAACATCACCGGGAAACAAAAAATTGGGAGAAAAGGACGATATCTCAACTCCGACCCCCTCACCGGAGAAGGCCAGGACCAATCGATCGACCTAATTTTGGCATCAACCGGAACCCGCTCCACCACCCATAAACAACCAGCAAGTTCGGCTAAGCTCTACATCGGGGAGGGGGCGACGACTCCTAATGGGACGAGCAGCTCAGGCTGGTGACGGCCGGCGCCGTGGTGCCTTGGACTGAGCAGCAGAGAGGAGCTGAAGGCTCAACTACGGCTACGAAGCTTTCTAATTTGGAGAAAAGGGTTCTCGCGAGGAGAGAGGGGGTTGCTCTTCTCTATTTATTGATCTCATTTCTCATGACAATTACTTGTAAATATTCACCATATTTGTTAACAAATATAATGCAACTCCTCTTCTAAATTGCGCATGTCATTTGTTCTTTCTATTAAAAAGAACTTATTATATATGACAAATTTATATATCCTACAAAATAAAAAGATAATCAATTTGAATTTCAAACTACATCATCTTCCAAACGTATACAAACTACCCGATTGATAAATATTCTTCTATGTTCATGAACAAATTCTAAAAAAATCTATGAAATATTAAGTTTAATAAACATATACCTATCATATACTGGATAAGCACATGCATTTTTCAAAGGCATAAAACCAGCCAGTCTGTTGTGTAACATATTTTTGTTTAGTGAATATATACTTAGCATATACTGAATATATATTTAACATATACTGAACATAAAACATACAATTGAAATGACAAAAAACATGTTGTAAATTTATACATACCGTATATTGAGTTTATATACATATATTTATATACTAGACATGAACATACATCTGCAAAAACATTAAAATCAGTTAGTTGTTGTGTTAATGACGTATGAGAGAGAGAGAGAGAGATATTTTATTGGGTGGTTACGGGGAAAAATATGTTGAATTAATGGGTGGTTAATGGGGTATGAAAAGAGATAAAGATTTTATTACCATACATATATGAATCAATTTAGGAAACACTGACACTTTTTCAATACTACTAATTAGTGATTAACTAAGCTAATCAAATTTTTTCAACAATTTTTCTGGCATATATGAAAATAATTAACAAATCTAACTATAATTGCTAGTAACAAATTTAATAAAACTTTTTAAGTTTTTCCTTCATTTTTCCGTTACTTTTGCATTAATTAAGTACTTATATTTTTATATTTTATATATAACAACCACGACTAATAAATCATAAAGTCATATTAATCATTAAATGATATCATAATCTAAAACTTTTTTTTTCAAACTATTTATTTAAAATTGTATTTCATTTTTGTTTTAAGTTTCCTTTATTAACTTATGTTAATTATATTTTATAATTTAACCAAACCTTTTAAATTTCGTGCACAATTTCTATAATAATAATTTCATCATTTTATTATCTAATCAATTGTTCATAATCATCAAAGATTGCAAAAATTGTATTATTGAAATCCATATAAAGATTAATATGTAAGTTAATAGTTTATGATTATATTATTCATTGTTACTAATGATAAAATTTATAAAATGTGATATGCTCTTTATCTAACTCATAATTTTAAATATCACACACACATACAACATATAAAATTTCATTTGTATCT